AATACTCAACAGGAACTGTGTAATATGGATATCTCTCAATAATGTGATCATGGGTAATCTTTTCACTTGGCTGAATTTTTCTGTGTTGTTGACAATAAGCATTTATTATTTTTATGAACCAAAATAACCTTGGTGAAGGAATACGTTAACACTTTTCATATCTTTAACACTTTCTGTATCTTGCTTTTAACTTTATAAATGTATTTCCTTTTTTGTGACAATATGAATTAATTTCTTATAGTTGGAAAACAATATATAGAAAAAATAAAGGTAATTTCCTAAGTAACCTAAGTTATTCACCATGTGATGTTTGCGTCTCCTTTGTTTCCTCTGAAAAAATGACTCATCACCAAGTATTGAAATTCACTCCACCTCCTTCAGTTTTTATATACTGACTATATATATACACATACATACACTGAATGCTAAGATGTTGAATTTATATTATTAATCTGTATTGCTGAAAATTCTGACCATGGAAGACAATTATCTCCATTTACATAGTATCACATCTAATTCTTTAACCGAAGGCTATCTGAAGAGATTTGTAATATTCCTGCTAAACCTTTTTAAGCCAAGCTAAAACTCATCCTTTCCTACGTTGCCACAGTTCTTGGAGACCCAGGGTGGAAGAAGGTGAGGCAGGTCTGTTTATAATTGACAGGACCTGGGGAGCCAAATTCTCCTGATTAACGTGGAAAGCAATTCTGGTGATCACTTTATTCGAAGTCTCCTATTCTCACAAGTAAATTCAGGAAGGCTTATAACTCCTCACCGAGGACGTTCAAGGCATTCACAAGCATTAAGGGTGGTGTTTTTTTCATATGCTATGTCTTTAACATTGTATCTGTTACTATAATGACTAGAATAATGTAAGTACCTTTGAAGGAGTAAAACAGAGGAATGGGAGGAAATGCAAACATGAGCGGAAAATCTTTTGCCCTTGGTATAGAGACTGGTATGAAGAAGCTAAGGATAATATACTCATTGAATGGCTCCACAGAATATGCAGATTGTGGATAAGTGGACTCCATAAAAACAGTAGGAGGAAAATAAGGAGAATCCAGCTAACTCTGAGAGAGGCCTTCCTGATTTAGAATCTCACAAAGTTAAGCAGAACATGACATGTAGATTCTACCATTCGACCCTGTCAATTTATAGTTATTCCAGTTTTTTTAATTGCTTATTTATTTTTAAATTGTGTTAAAACATACACAACATTGAATTTATCATTTTAGCCATTTTTAAGTGTAGAGTTCAGTGGCATTAAGTACATTCACGTTTTGTGCAACCATCCCCCCCATCAACCTCCAGAACTTCTTCCATCTTGCCAAACTGAAACTCTGTAACCATTCTGATGTGGAGCCTGAAGTGAGTTCGCTCACCCAGTGAGCAGCAAGCCAATCTCTGACACCAGGTGTAATGGAAGAAAGTAGGAATTTTATTGTTGCTCAGCATTGAGCAAGGAGAGAGGGCAGCTAATGCTGAAATCCCAAACTTCCCAAAAAGCTAAAAGGAAGGGTTTTTATTTGAGGTTTTAGGTAGGGGAGGGGGCGCGTATGTTGGTCAAAGCTTTTCCACCAGCGTGTGTTTGGCCTTGAGACTACGTGCAGAGAGGAGGAAGAGGAGATGATGTGGGAGCCAGGTGGTTGTTCTTGGTCCTTTGTCTCCATGGCGGATAACGGATTCTGGAGTGAGGAAGCCAAGGAGTGAGCAGGGAATGAGTGCTTTGGTTTAAACCCCATATATGCTGGGTTTACTCTAGGGAAACCAATATCAGGGCTAGTATCAATTCAACAATAACTTCTTTTTTCTTTTAATTATTGTGTTTCAACTATTTACATTTATTGTAACTGCTGATGTTAAGATTTATCCTCAGTCAGCCATTTCATTATTAGTTTTCTGTTGTTCCACATGTTTTTCATTCCTGTTAACAATTCCCTGCTTTCTTTTCTATTTCAACTTTTTAAAACTCGCTTTACTTTATATATTGCATTTTTGACAATATCTCCTTGTATAGATTTCAGCGATTGCACTAGAGATTAAAATATACATACTGAATTAGTCTCCTAATATCATCTGTACCGTGTAAAGTGGAAGCTTGAAACTATCAACTTAAAAAGCAAACTCACCTATTTTATCCTCAAAATGAGTTCATTTGGGAATAGCTGACAGAATTGCAACTGGGGATGCACATGCTATGGCAAACAATAGGAAAACTGGAAAACAAAGAGAAGGGGCTGCTTTTATAGAGAAAAGGGGGAGTAGGGAGGGGCTGTTCTAAATGAAAATCCATTGGGGGAAAGTAACAGTTCAGGGTGGCAATGACATCTCATTGGCTGAGCTGAGGCTTTTCTCATTGGCTGAGCTGTGGTGTTTCTCATCAGCTGAGCTACGGTGTTTCTCATTGGCTGAGATATGGTGTTTCTCATTGGCTGAGCTGTGGCATTTCTCATTGGCTGAGCTGTAGTGTTTCTCATTGGTTGAGCTGCAGCATTTCTCATTGGCTGAGCTGCAGTGTTTCTCATTGGCTGAGCTGTGGTGTTTCTCATTGGCTGAGCTGTGGCATTTCTCATTGGCTGGGCTGTGGTGTTTCTCATCGGCGGAGCTGCAGCATTTCTCATTGGCTGAGCTGCGGCATTTCTCATTGGCTGAGCTGCAGCATTTCTCATTGGCTGAGCTGTAGTGTTTCTCATTGGCTGAGCTGCAGTGTTTCTCATTGGCTGAGCTGTGGCATTTCTCTTTGGCTGAGCTGCAGTGTTTCTCATTGGCTGAGCTGTGGTGTTTCTCATTGGCTGAGCTGCACTGTTTCTCATTGGCTAGGCTGTCACTGGGTGAGGAGAGAAATATTCCTTGAGCGGTAAAGCAGTTTTACTTCCTGTCAGAGATGCAAGCTCTGTCTCTTCCTGTTTGGTGTAACTGATGATGTGTGATAGGGCTGTGAGAGCTCCCCCTACAGGCCTTCCTGACTCCAATTTACTGAAGGTTCTTTTATTAATTCCCACAAACCTTACCACCATTTGCATCCCATTATGCTTCTCCATTTATGATATGGTCATCTTGTATATTACTTTTAAAAGCACACATCTTTAGAAGGTGTTCAGAGTTATTAGCAATGTTCTATTAATTAAGCTATTGTGTACGACTATATATTCTTTTTATTATTTTTTTAGTTTGCATCATATATTATGTAGGAAATATTTAACAGTAAGATTTTTGGTGCAATTTCGATGTTTATATTGTGTCAAAGCAATTTTAGAGTGAGAGAGTCCATACTGAACCATGTATGTTACAGTACTGAGCAATACCTACGGTGGTTGGGTTACAGTAAAACTCACTGTACTGCCTTCTGCTTGGACTTTATGGAACGTACAGCAATTAAAACAGGCTTTAAAATCAGGACGTGCAACAGGCTCAGGAGGAAAAGCGAACGTGTTCTCTGAGGGGCCGCTCTGAGGTCAGATTATATCAATGGCTGTGGGAATTTCCATCAGCTGAGTGAGAACTAACTTGGATCACCTTCCTGGATCCTAAAGTCTACTTTTCACGTCGTTCAACTTGGGAAAATGTACGTCCTCCGATGGTGACTGTGCACTCCTGGTCAATAAACCTCTTAAATTTACCAGGAGAATCATTCTGCACGTGGGAGAGTAATTTGTTGCTCCTCTGTGCACATCAAAGTGATCCCAGTTAACAAGGTCATGGAGACCGCAGGTGACGAGGTGATCCATTGGGAGCAGAAGTCCTGCCATCCTGCCCCTGATATACAGTCTTTCTGGGGCAGATCCAGCCTTTCCAAGATGTCTCACTTGCTTGGGGAAGCTGACTGCCTGTAGGAAGGATTCTGCCACACTCAGCCTGGAGAATGAGAGGGAGGTATGAAGACATTTTCAAGATTCCCATTCCCCATTCTAGCTTCTTTACGGAGACTTCCATTCTTTTCAGATTTAATCTTCTGTGAATTTTCTGTTTGATAGAAATGTATGTTTTCTTTCTCACGTTATTGTCACTATTTCTCTTTTCCTCCTTATATTTGCTTTTACTTTCTTCTACTGTTTCATTGTCTTTAAACAATTCTGCTTCATTTGAAAACTGTGTCACAAATTCTTCATTGTATTTTGACTTTTTGTTGTTCACAACTATTTGAAAATCCCATACAATTCTATATAATGACTATCTTCCCTTATTTATGTTTTTGTATGTCTCTTCTTTCTTGTCTATACATTAATTGACATTTATTTACATTTCATATAATTTTCCTCTCCGTTTCATTTTATTACCGTTTTTCTAAATCTGGTGCTTTTGTTTTTGAAGCATCATTTTATTTTTATAGATAATAACCTTTATCTCAAAATGTCATACATTCATTTTCTTTAAAAATGCTTTAATCACATTTAGACTAATTTATAACAGGTTCCTCTTAGAGGTTTTATACATTTTTATCGTATATTAATTTCTAAGTTCAACATATTTTTATGCTATTTAAATGCTATCATTCTTTACATTTCCTTTTTAAACTATTTTTATGCTGGCATATACAAATGCAAACGACTTTTATACTGACTTTGCTTTCAGTAACTTTGAAAATCTCTCTTAAAAATTCCAATATTTTAGTCAATGATTCCATCGTTTTCCTTCTTAAAATTTATAGAATCTGTCAATGATAAAAGGTAGTGTTATTTTCTTTCCAATTATTTTAGATTTTACTTTTTTTCTTTGCTCTTTGTTGTTAGTGCTACTGTATGTCATTAGGGTGTCGAGTGGCTTCAGACTCCAGCGACCCTGTGTACAGCAGAGGGATCCCCGCCCTGTCTTTCTGCACCATCCTCTCACCTTCTGGGGCTTTATCAAATAATGCTCCATGGCTACTCATAGTGTTTTCATGGCCAATTTTTTTTCAGATGTGATGGCCAGGTCCTTCTTCCTAGTCTGCATTAGTCTGGAAGCTCCAATGAAACCTGTCCACCACAGGTGACACTGCTGGTATTTGAAATGCCAGTGGCAAAGCTTTCAGCATCACAGCAACACGCAGCTGCCATCATATGACAACCAACAGACAGCAGGTGTGGTTCCCTGACCTGGAGACTAAGCCTGGCCTCAGCAGTGAGCGCTGAATCTTAACCACCAGACCCCCGGGGCTTTACTATCAAGCAGGAAATCCAAAAGCATGAGGAATAAGTGGTGATAGCAGGGACTTTTACTCATAGCCAATCTCAAAGGAAAGGCTTTCAATATGTGGCACAATGTGATACTGATGACACTGTAGATGTTTTTGTCAGGGTACAGCTATTCTTTTCTATTGCTATATTACAAAAATTTTTACCATACACGTATGTTGAATTTGATCACATGATCTTATGTATATATTGAAATGATCATCTCTTTTTGTCCCTTTAGTCTGCTAATGTGGGTCATCATACAGATCAAATTCCAAATGTTAAACTTACCTTCCACGTTAGGGATAATTCTTGGTCAAAACCTTGATTCGTTTCACACATTGTGAATGCGGTTTTACAATTATTTTGTGTATATTGTTTTTCAAGTTCATGAAATAGTCTAATTGTTGTCCTTTTCACACTGTCTTTGTCGCTTTTAGCTAACAGGATTATGCTGACCTCATAATGGTTAATGGAATGTTCTCTCTTTTTCCATCCTTCACAGTTATTTGTAGATGTTACTTGTTTCTGGTAGGATAGGCATACTTCACTGTTGAAGCATTCTTTGGGATTTCCCAGGGAACGATTTTTGATCACTATTCAACGTCATCATGAAGAGCCTTGCACATTTATAACTTTCTATTACTCTAGTTTTGTTTTGGTAAGTTATCTAGAAATGTGCTTCCATATCTCCTAAATTTCCAACTTTATTAGCATAATTAATGACAGTATCAAGCTATTTTCTAATATTTGCAGCTTCTCCACCGCTGTCCATTTAACGTTTTTAATCCTGATGTTATTTGTGCCTGCCTTTGATCGAGTGTTACAGTGTCGCATAAGTTTGTTAATTTTATCATTCCTGTCAAGGAACTGACTTTCAGGTTTTTTCCATATGAAGGTTGTTATCCATTAATTTCTGCTTTACTTGTATCAATTCCATTTATTTCTTTTTAGGATTAAATTGCTATTCCTTTCCTAGTGGCACTGTACACTTTATCTTTTCCATTTTAGTTGGCAACTTGAATTCTACCTTCTTCATAACCTAATTCTGTACTCTAAGGTTCTGAAGACTTCCTAGAATCCGGTCTCTGAAAGTGACGCTTCTTGGCTTGAAATACAGAAGAGCTGAACATTTCAACACCCTGCCACCCGATACTGAACTGTCAATCACTACATTCTTCCACAAGCTCCATTATTTAAAATTTCACAATATAATCTATTTTTGTTTCATTTGAAGCCTGGTTGGCCTAATTAAAACATTAATAAGATAATGTTTCCAAGTGATGTAACTTATGGGTTTTTCTCCATATCTCAAATTTCCATTGGGTTCCTGGGGAACTCACTGCTCTTCGTGTTACATATATACACCTTCTTAACTCAGCCTCACCTGAAAAAGCCTATAGATTTGATTTTCACACACCTGACATTGGTCAATGTTTTGACTATCATGTTCAACTTGATGCCAACTGTCACGTCATCCTTTGGAATAAGGCATTTTCTGGACGATGTTGGTTGTAAGGCAACTTTGTACACATACAGAGTTACCCGGGGTCTTTCCATCTGTACCACCTCCCTCCTGAGTGCTTTTCAAGCCATCACTATCAGTCCCAGTACTTCTATATGGGCAAGGCTTAAATCTAAAATCTCCACATGCGTTCTTCCCTCTTTCCTTGTCTTCTGGATCATCAACATGCTCATCTATATCCAGATCATCCAAGCTGTAGAAGCCAATCGCAATGCCACATTTGTTGGTTTCGGGTATTCTCAAGTTTACTGTCGCACTAAGCAGGTGGAACGCTACTATTCAAAGGCATTTATAAGTGTCATCGTGATTCAAGATCTCCTCTTTGTGGTCCTCATGATGTTGTCCAGTATCTACATGGTGAATCTCCTCTACAAGCACCGCCAGAGAGCCCAGCATCTTCGCAGCCCCAGCCTGTCTTCCCAGACATCTCCGGAAATCAAAGCCACCCACAGTATTCTTTTGCTGGTAAGTTGCTTTGTTTTCTTTTATTGTGCAAACGATTTCATTACCCTTTACTTTTTTTATAGACCTGAGAAAAACCCAAGACTGGAGAGAATTACTGGGATTATTTCATCGTGCTACCCAACCATCTGCCCTTTTCTGCTAATGAAAAATAATAAGATTTTTTTCAAATTTACTTCTCCCACTTCAAAGATGAGAACTACCGTTTCTCAAAGAACAGTCAGTGGATGATCTTGCACCCACGACTTCCTTCTGCAACAGAGAAGCTCCTCAATGATGAACACAAATGGAAAATGCCACGTGGCTATTAAACACTTCAGATGTGGCTAGTATAATTGAGATGGACTGTAAATTAAAAATATACACATTTTGAATTCTTACAATGAATGAGTATATACATGTCAAATTAATAATTTTCATATTGATTACTTGCTTACATTATAAGAATTTGAATTAAACCAAATACATTAAAAAGATATCATTAGACCTAACTTTATCTGCTTTGTTTTGCTCTTTTAAAAATGTGGCTGCTAGAAATTTTAGAATTACATTTGGGGCCTCAATTATATTTCTGTCAAACTGCAATACTCTAGGGAAGATCATTTCTCTATTCAAAAGATATGTATTGCACACCTTACATATTCCAGGTACTATATTAGGGGTTGACCATATTTACTAATGAGGTTATATAGAATGTTTGTGCTCTTGGAAAAGTATAAGTGCATATGACAGAGCTATGATCAATAGAGCAGAAAATTGGGAGTTCTGGGAGTTTCACTCCTTAATGTATACTAAAATACTTGAGTGTGTCTTTCAATGTCTGTGTAAATCCATCCATAGTAATAACCCCACCTATGCTATGCTCATATATTTTTAATTTTAGATCTAGTCTGTTATGATGATTTCATAAATATGTCCTTTCATTTCCAATAATTCTTCATTCGAAACAGTGTGACACTTTCCGTGTCTACTGTGGTGCATTTGCCTCAAACAGATGTAATTTGCACAATTCTTTCTTCAGCGCCACCTTCCATCATTTTCATCTTCACTATTTTGAGGTCTTTGTTCGATTTAATTCATTGTTGATTTAAAGTCCTTGGGGATATGATTCAACGGATATGTAGTTCGAATATCTGCACAATTTTTTCCAGCCTGGCCGCTGGATTCTATTTTTCCTACACGTAGGATTCTTGGACTGACTCCTTTTCATTCAGTAATTCACCTTCCTCTGTCTTCCAGCTTTTCCTGTGCAGGCAAGATCTCCAACAGCAGAATGGTGCTTTTCCTTTGAAAAAAAATTTTTCTCCATGAACTTTCAAATAGGTCCTTTATAATTAGATAAACTTTCATAGAATTTAAAAGACTGTTTGCTAGATAAGAATAGGCGTGTTTTTCATTGCTGTTTCAATCCAGGCCATGGATTGGATGTGCAGTTGAAGTGAACTTCAACTTAGGAAATCGTCTTCCATTATTTAATGATTATCTTCCCTCCACCGGTTTGATTTTTCCATCTGGAATGGTCACTCCTCTTCAACAGAGGTGCGATGCCTCCTAGATAGCTCTCCATGTCCTTTCTGTAAACTTTTCCCCACCGTGGTTTTCATCTCTTTGAACAACACAATTTCAAGTTTTTCTTGGGCCTTGATCTCCCAAAATCAATTCAGGTTTAAGCATCAAGCATCCTCTCCTTCAAATGTACCTTCTGATTTTTTTTCAACCTTTAAAAATTGTCTAACAGATATGCCAAGGGGAGCCAGAGAGAGAAAAAGGGAGCTAGAGACAGCGAGGGAGAGAAAGAAAGCAGGCATAGGGTTCTGCTTTTACTGAGGTTGAAGGTGGAGGCCTGGGTTTTCATCTGTTCACTCTTTATTGGTGAATTTAAAACATAAGAGTTGAGAATTTAAAGTGCAGGAAGAGGAAAAACAAGTGGCCCAAATATCAGTTATCCAAATCAACAGAGATCCCTAAAACTAAAAAGTCTTGGCGTGGAGGGGACAGAGCTCCTTATCGAGTGGGATGGCTGACAATGGGTTTATTCCAGATGGCCATCTTTGAAGAGGATGCCTCTTTGAAGTGCATGCCTCAGCAATCAAATATTAAGTCAGAAATGAAGAGCCAAATATGAGTGCTTATACTACAGCCATTTAATTCCACCTTCTGCACAATTTTATAATTTCCTCTGTAGTCACCATTCTTAATTTGGGGTGTCATATGCCTTGAGACAACCTGATGAATAATCTTATAAAATGTTTTATCAGTTCATATAAACTAAGCATCAGAAACATAATTTTTTGAAATTTAGGAACTCCCTGAAAATGTGCCAAAGACCTCCTCTAGGTCCTCCAATCGCTCAAAATGAAATAAAAACTGTAATACAGCACTTTTTGCAAAAGCCTCCCTCTGCTTGGTACCTATGTTGGGGCAGTGGATATACCCTTTTACCCTTCTTGTGTTCTTATGGCTGGACCAATAGTAAAATTGACACAAGAGCAGATTTACAAGAGAAAAACTCAGTTTAATACCTACACATTGCAGATCAGAGAGAAACAATGTTCAGAGAGTGCACAAAGCAGGCAGTAAATATGTAGTTTACACAAAGAAATAGGAAATTCATGAGGAATGACAGGGCGAAAACTTAGATTTGAGGTGCATAATTACTGAGGGATTTATGCAGAGTTTAGGCTCAAAGTCGTAAATTAGCAAAGTTCGTTTATGCAGACTTCTCAGCTCTGAATCGATAAGGGTGCTCTAGTGATAAGAATGCAGGGGAGCATTTTAAGTGGGAGATTATTTCCTGTTTTCAGGGGGAATAGAGGTGGGATGTTCAGAATGCCCTTTTTGCTTCTCAAGGAACTCTAATCCAAAGCAATCAGTATGCTATTGTGGGGTATTTTCGGGTAGCCAGCCCTGTGCTCCAACAACTGCAATGTCTTCAAAAGTAGCAAGTTATTGCCTGGGAAATATTATGCAAGGAACAATTTCTAGAGGGGTTTATCTATAGGACAAAATTGGCAGAGGAACTAAAAATTGCTTTAAACTTTTTGGATAATATTAAAACATAGATTAAATTTAAAACGTCACTTTACCATAAAGTCACTTTTAGAAATCTAATCTAAAAAATAGAAGCACCCGTATCCAGGGAAATTGCATTGAAAGGTCTTCCTTGAAGCATTGTTTGTAGTGGAAAAATAGAAAACCAACCTGAATGCCTAGGAAAAGGGGAAGAGCTTAAAAAAAAAATGTGTGAGTCCATATTGTGGAATATTTTCCAACTATTTCAAATGAGCTTTGTCTCTATCTGCTGATGTATTTTGTTAGCATAGGAAAATATTGTCACCCTGTTGATGGAGTTGACTCTCTGACCCTTGCAGTCCTCAGCACCTGGTCATGCGTCTTCCACTGAACCTCCACAACCCCACCTCCCCCTCTTCCCCACAATAGTGTCCACAGATTGCAGATCAGTTTTAGGATGTGTCACCCCTGTCCCAGGCCAAATGCCCTCTTGTTTAGGTCTCGCCCATGTGTTGGGGCTGGACATAGGGGTTCCAGTCACAATTCAGGGTTGAGGGCACTCAAGTTCCGCAGGTGATGGCTCCGTGTACCTCCCTCACCTGGTCCTGCCTCCATTCTATGAAATGTCTTCACGTTCTGATTGTGAGAATCTTTGGGTGTGTTTGTGCCATTTACTGGCTCTCTGTGTGGTGCCCCAAATGGGAATAAGCAGTGTCGATGTCTCCTCCCACGTTGCTAGTGTCATGAAGGAACACAAATCCTCTACCCGCTAGGTCCTTCTGGCTCGTCTGTGAATTACATTCACATGAGACAGAATAACAGGGGAAAATCAAACAAAGCTTTATAACATGTACACGTGGGAGAGACTCAGGAAAACTGAGCAACTCGATGAAATAGCCAAGCTTCCAGCTTAAATATCATCTTTAGCTAAAGACAAAACAGGGTGTTGGGGGTGGTGGTTTGGGACTTCAAAGGGAAGGAAAGCAATTCACATGAAAATGGAAAAGCAAATGTTTGGTAAACAGAAATTTGATAAGAGTGGGCTTAGCAAGGACCCTCCCAGACTACTGATGCCCAGAGTTATCTATGGTGATACCCTGTCCTGGGGACAGGTCTTTTATCTTAAATTTCTTTTACCCAGTTAGGGGGAAGGTCAAAGTTTCTTTCAGAGTCTTTTGTTCTTAAAAGTAATCAAGGCAAGGCCAAGAGACAGATTTTGGGGTGGCCAATTCTGATCCCACACAGTCCTGCCTTTGAAACTTTAAGAAATTGCATAGTCCCGAAGCTGAGTGGTAGATTGTTCCATCTCATCGAACACATTTTCTTAGTCCTGATAATAGATCAGTCCAGTTAAATTCACTTTAGAAGGCAGTGATGGAGGTGGGCTCCCAAAGACAGGCCTATATTGTGGAAGCAAGAAATCAGGTCTTTAATAAGAAGTATTTCTATGGAAACAAAAAGAAAAACAAGGTTAGTGGTTGAAGCAGAGTATAAACCAGTTTCTGAGTCCAGGGGACAGCCAGTCAAGATTTCTATATACTAGGGTCGAAGAATCCTTTGCAGTTTGAAAAGTCTCTGATGATGTCATTGAGTGTTCAGCTATCCTTCTGAGTGGCTTAGAGAGCAACAGGCACGCTATGGTGGAGATTTCTCTGACATTTATATCAAACGGTCCAGCTTCAGTTTGCAGGACTTCAGGAACAAGCATGGTTTCAGTTCTCAATGATTTCAAATAAAATTGATAGAAAAAAAATAGAAAATTTTAGTTTGGAGATTTATAGCCAGATATTTCAGAAGACTAGAAGAATTCAGGATCCAGTCCAGTTTACAGGTAGAAAATAAAAATCTCAAAGACAATTAATAAAACTAGAACCTAATATCCACAAATGTGTCCTATAGTTTCTACTGAAACATAATTATTCTCCCTGAAATTACCCTCATTTTTATCAAAGATAGCCAAATTAAGACTAATTGGTTTGTCTAGTTTCAATAAATTTGGCCCAAATATTTACATAAGTACAGCAAGAATAACCATTGATCATAGAGTCTCTTTTAAATCTGCTTTGCTGGAACTTTTTATAAGGAATCTCAGATTAAAGTTTAAAGTCCTCTTGAGGCCAGGAAAGCCAAGCCAAGGATTTATCATCAGGCTTCACCTGAATACCTTAGATTTGGGTGAATTCCTCTCTTCTCTGGAGGTTCCCCAGAATATTAAGTTTCCTTGCATCTGCCAGGTAAGTGAGCTTCTTTACTTACCCAGTATGGTTGCTTAGAACCCTGTAAACAAGGTACCAGGCCAATATTTACAAGTGATTTTATTCTAGAAAGTCAACTTTTATTCCTCAAAAGCTGTCTTGTCATACCCAAGCCTGTATGTTTCTCTTATACATGACATTCCAGTCAAAACCTTGGTATTATAACCAATGTTTCCAATTGTTTCCTGTTACAAGAAGAGCAGATGCTTATTGA